AAGGTTGGTTTAGCATTCACAAATCAATTAATGTAATATACCATACTAATAAAATAAAGGACCAAAACCACATAATCATCTCAACAGATACCTAAAAACATTATGACAAAATCCAACACTCATTCATGACAAAAACTCTCAGCAAACTAGGAATAAAACGGACTTCCTCAAATTGATAAAGAGCATTTATGAAAAACCTACAGTTAATACCATACTTAACAGTGAACGACTAAATGCTTTCTTTCCCCTTAAGATGAGGAATAAGGTAGGGATGTCTGTTCTTGTCACCTCTATTCAATGCCATACTGGAAGTTTGAGCCTGGGCTCTAAGTTAGGGAACTCTCTATCTTCTGTACAATTTCTCCTTAAACCAAAAACTTTCCTAAAAAATAGTCTGTTAAAAATAAAACAAAAAGAAGACAGAAAAATTAAAGGCATTCAGATTTGAAAGAAGCAAAACTGTCTTTATTTATAGACTGCATGATCCTATATATAGAAAATCCTAAGGAATCCACACACAACATAACCACTGCGTCACCAAGGCTCCTACAAAATAACTACTGAAACTAATAACTGAGTTCAGTAAGCTTGTAGTAGGATACAAGATCAATAAATAAAAATCAACTGTATTTCTATATACTTAGCAACAAATAACCCAAATATGAAATCAAGAAAAAATATTCTATAAAAAGACAAAATACTTAGGAATAAATTTAACAAAAGCAGTGTAAGCCTTCTACACTGAAAATTACAAAACATGACCGAGGGAAATTAAAGATCTAAATAAATGGAGGACCTTCTATGTCCATGGATTAGAAGACTCAATATGATTAAGATGGCAATTCTCCCCAAACTAATCTGCAAATCCAACACAATGCCTACCAAAATCCCAGCAGGCTTTTTTAGGGTAGAAATCGACCAGTTGAACCTAAAATTTATATGGAAATGCAAAGGACCCAGAGTAGCCAGACAATTTTGAAAAAGAAGAACAAAATCTGAAGGACTTACACTATCCCATTCCACCACTTACTATAAAAGCTACAGCAATGAAGACAGTGTGGTACTGGTATAAGGAGAGACGTACAGAGCAACAGAACAGAAACGAGAATCCAGTGACAAATTCTTACGTTTACGGTCAATTGGTTTTTGACAATGGTGCCAAGGCAATTCAATGGTGGAAAAGAACTGTCTTTTCAACAAATGGTGCTGGGATAACTGAATATTCACATTCGTAAAGATGAATTTAGATTTGAACCTCATGCCATGCACAAAAATTAACTCAAAATGAACCATATACTTAAATTGTAAGAACCAAAACTATAAAATGTATTAAAGAAAACATAGAAAATCTGTGTGCTCATGGATTAGCCAAAGAATTCTTTGGTACGACAGCAAAAGCATGATCCACAAAAATTGTTAAACTGGACTTTACCAAAATTAAAAATGTTTATGCTTCAAAAGACACAACTACTAAAACAAAAGGCAAGCCACAGACTCGGAGAAAATATTTGTAAATCATACGACTCAGAGAGAACTTGTATCTAGAATATTTTAAAGAATTTTTACAACTCAACATAAGAAGACAATCCAATTCAAAAAGGGGCAAAAGATATGAATAGACATTTCACCAAAGAAGATAAAGAAATGGCCAGTAAGCACATGAAAAGATAAATAACATAATTAGTTGAGGGAAATGCAAATCAAAACCACAATGAGATATTACTTCACACCCTAATACTAGAATGACTATAATGAAAACTCATTGAAAAATTTAAAAAACAAACCAAAAATAAAGCAGTGAACCAAGCAGGAAAAAACAAACAAACAAAAAACATCCCACAAAGAAAAGCCCGGCTGCAGATGGCTTCACTGTTGAATTCTATCAACACTTAAAGCTGTAACACCAATTCTGCATTCTCTCTTCCAGAAAATGTTAGAGGAGGTAACATTTTCAATGAGGCCATTTTAAATATATATCATTAAAGATATCATGGTTTACTTTTTACAGAAAATGCATTATTAAGGTATAAAAGACATAAGGCACTGGAGCAGAAGTCTTGAGAACTGGGTTCCAATCCTAACCAAAGGACAGTTCCTTTGGTAATCGTTGTCACGTTACATCATCTTGTTGGACTTCAGATTCCTCTATGATACAATTCTTGGACATTTATTACATAATTTTTTTTAAACTTGCCCAATCTTATCAAAAATTTGGAAATAGATAAGGGTGATGGCTGAAAAACATGATGAATATAATTAATGTCACTAAACTGTAAATGAGAAGATTGTTAAAAGGATAAATTTTACATATATATTTACCACAATTAAAAAAACAAAAAAACAAAAAACTTGCTCAATCCTAAATTGGTGTAACCCTTCTGGAAAACAGTATGACAATATACAGTTAGAGCCAGTTCGTATTCTTTGGTGAAGTATTTAAACTTCTGGATGTTTATCTTAAAAGATACAACTCAACCCAAGCAAAACAAACAAAACATTCAAAGTGGGTAATGCAATGTCTCTGTAACAGCAGAAAACCGAAAACAACCTACATATCCAACAAGAGTGACATAAAATAGTAACACAATTTAGGAAATCACCAAAAACTGGTATGAAGATGGTTGTAGAAAGTATTTTTGTTAGGTGAAAAAACAGAAAATAAATGACTTGATCTATGAAAATGTACACAGTATATAAAGTATATGCCAAACCAAAGGTAATCTGCACAAATGAAAGTAGTATTAGGGTTGTGAAGATGGCTTTTTTTTTTTTTTTTTTAACTTCAAGTCTTGAAACACTGAAACATTATATACTCAAAGGGAAAATCAAAAACTTGTCCAAAGGGTTGTTGTTGTTAGCTGCAGATGAGTCAATTCTGACTCATGGCAACCCCATGTGTAGAGATATGAAATATTAAGGCTCCGCTGATAAGGTTCTATGTTGCTACGGTTTGAGTAATGCTTCCTAAGAGTCTAAAGCTCTCAATAAGTCTCAGTGATGAAAACTTTACCAAATAAGAAAAAACCAAAAACTCTTTTACAGTGGAATTATCAAAAGTATTTCACTTGCTCTACTCAGTGCTGAGGTAAAACTATCGAGTTGATTCCAACTCATAGCAGCCCTACAGGTCAGAGCAGAACTGTCCCACAGGGTTTCCGAGGAATAGCTGGTGGATTTGAACTGCTGATCTTTTGGTTAGCAGCCGAGCTCTTAATCACTTTACCAGTAGTGCCCCTAAAAGTACTAATTAAAATCCAGATATAAGATTTAAAAAAATACCCATTGTGGTCAAGTCGATTCCGACTCATAGTGACCCTATAGAGCAGAGTAGAACTGCCCCACAGTTTTCAAGAAGCAGCCAACGTCTTAACTACCACGCCACCAGGGATATAAGATAAGACAGTTCAAAATCCTTATGCCTGGCTGTTTCATTTGTCACCGTCACTTTCCAGTTCTCAATTCAAACTTCTTAAGCAGCCTTCATTTTCAAGTATGTCAGCCACAATACTATTTGGATTATACAGCCTCTAAAGTTCCTTTCAAGGAGCCCAGGTGATGCAGTGGTTAAAGCACTCAGCTGCTAACTCAAAGGTTGGCGGCTTGAAGCCACCAGCCACTTCATGGGAGAAAGATGTGGCAGTCTGCTTCCATGAAGATTACAGCCTTGGAAACCCTATGGGACAGTTTTACTCTATCCTGTAGGGTCGCTGTGAGTGGGAATCGACTCGTTAGCAACAGGAAAGTTCCTTTCAGGAGCCACGGTGGCGCACTGATTAAGCGCTTGGGTGCTAATCAAAAGGTCGGCAGTTCGAACCCACCAGCTGCTCTGTGGGAGAAAGAACTGGCAGTCTGCTTCCATAAACATTACAGCCTTGGAAACCCTATGGGGCAGCTCTCCTCTGTCCTGTAGGGTCACTATGAGTCGGAATTGACTTGATGGCAACAGGCTTTTTAGAAAAAAGTTTCTTTTAAGTAAGGAGAGTGAAAAGAAGAAAGCGAGCGTCTGTCTAGCTCTACTGATTTTCCTGGCTATCCCTGCGGCTGCTGGCTAGGATGGAAATTTCACCGGCACTCCCACAGTCAGCAGAAAGAATGCTACCGTGTACAGCTCTAATAATATTAGGTTGAACCATATGAAATTGTCATTCTGTAAGTCAAAAAAGTAGACTATTGGCAAATTCATATGGCTCAACCTATGTCACTATCTTTGAATTAAGAAAAAGTTTTTTTTTCTTAAGGGTATCATGTATTTATTGAAAAGAACTTTAGGACAAGATAAAGAAGTTAACTAGCTTCTTGAGTATATTTTATGTTGGGTTCTCTGATCTTTCTAAGTCTATTAAAGCACTCTCTCTGAGAGCATAGTCCATGTTCTTCCCCTGCTGCTGCCACAGTGGGTCCAGGGTGCTGGCAGTAGAGAGAAAACAAAAAGTTTTCCTGTCACTTAAAAGTTGCCTTTTTCTTGAGTTAGCATTTGCTTAGTTGCTGCATCCCTCCAATTACTTTTAGAGTTCTTACAGAGTTGAGAGTACCAGTTTCTCGTTGTTCTCCTCGGTGACAGCATGGGGGAGGGGGGTAAAGCACGGAACTGCTCACACCACCATCTTCCAGGAATTCTCTGGGAATTTATTTATTTTTGCATTTCAAACTGTCTTTCTCTTTAAACTTTTTGTTCCCTTTAAGACTCTGCAGAATCACTGTCATGGACCTTAACATTCCCAATAAGGAGCGCTCTTACGTGAATCATTATTTTCAGAACCAGAATTTAAGCAATTCGTTTTTGCATGTTCGCATTTATATGCGAAAGTCGTAAGCAAAACCAAGCAGTGTTTAACAGCAGCTAACTAAAAAATAAATACCATAATTATCTCGTTCTAACTCAATGCCTGTCAAAGTCCTGTTTCCCTTCACAGAGTAGGAAGTTTTGGTGCCAACACTTTCAGAGCAATGCTTCCTCCATTTCCAGTTAAAATCAATCCCACTTATAGATGCTTTCTTACCTGAAACTCCCATAGACTATTAGTAGAATGGAAATCAGAAATGTAGACACTTGACTGGAATCCACCAGGGAATAGGCCCTAGAAGAAATAAGAGGAAAAAAAAAAATTTAAACCACATTGCAGCAAGCCCTCATGAAGCTTAGTCTAATGGAGTTCTACAAACCCCTCCGTTTGTTTTTGTCGTTAAGAAGAAAAAAGATATAAATTAGCATTTAAAAGAAAAGAACATAATTAAAATGAAATCTGCTACCTTAAAATGCAGAATAAATTTATAGGCTCACAGTTATTATTAGTAGCTGTTCACAGGATATTAAATGATATCAATATAAAAATCCCATCTCTGTATGATATACAACATGCTTATAACAGCCACTCCCAATTTAAAAATTATCAAAATATCTATCAACTCTGTGCCAATGACAAAAAGTCTCAGTGATAAAACTTTTATCAGCTTACACTTGAACTATCAGTAGTTTTCTACTGGTTTTACTCAGTGCTGAGGTAATCTCCATTTAGATGTACTATAGGAGGTTCTACTAAGTCAACAGGTCCAAAACTAAAGTTATCGTTCTTCATGCCTGATTATCTCAAAGAATGGTACTACCATCCCCTCAAGTTGCCAAAGCTAGAAATCTGCTGCATTCTTGATACCCCCTTCTTTTACTTTACACATGTAACGACAGTCAACGAGTCCTGCAAACTTCCAAATTCCCAACTACCCGCCTTCTCCCAATCCCACTCACTGCCAATTTCTTAGCTCCTTTCTCTGGTCTACTATCAGAAATCTTGTTTTCAAGTCTGCTACCGTGAGTTCACCCTCCACGCTACTTTACATGGAGGCATTTTCCTAAAACAAATTTCTCCTTCATTCTTTCATTCAGAAAGTATTTAATGATGCCTATTTGCCAGATGGAGTCCTGGATGGTGCAAATGGTTAACGTGCTCAGCTGCTAACTGAAAGGCTGGAGATTCGGGGGCAACAAGAGGTGCCTCAGAAAAAATGCCTGATGATCTACTTCTGAAAAATCAGCCACTGAAAGCCCTAAGGAGCACTGTTCTACTCTGATACACACAGGGTCATCATGAGCGGGAACTGACTCGACTGCAACTGGTTGGTTATATACCAGGTACTCTGCTAGTCTCTGGGATATAACAGCAAACAAGAAGACTGCTTCGGTCCTTGCCTGAATGTCTTTTCTAAAGGAAGGTAAACCAAAAATTAACATAAGTAATTGAACATGACTGTGGAAAGTGTTATGAAGGGGAAGAAGACAGTACAGTGTACAATGAAAATGCATAAAAGGTGCGTTCCATCTAAGAATGATGAGGGGAGGCTTTCTTTATAGAAACAGATGAATTAGACAGATATAAGACACAATAAATAGGACTTTGTGACTGTTTATGGGAGCTAGGCGAGGGAGGAGTTAAGGATGATTCTCAGGTTTCTAAACAGCCAGCTGGGTAGACGGCTGCACCATTTACAAAAAAGGCAACCTAGGAGGAGCTCATTTAGAGTTATGTTTTGAGGAGACAGTTGGGTATCTGGGTCTAGAGCTCAGACACAGCTCTAAGTGATATACAGTAAAACCTGTGAAAGCCAGAACCTGTCATAGAAGGAAAGCTCAAGTATTTTCCAGTAATGGAGAGCGATAAGTGGTAAAGATTGTACCCTGTCAAAGGCAGAAAACTTGCAAGACCCAGAAAAACAAGGCAGTCCTGTGGAGTTACACAGCTTTCACATGTTTCACCTCAGACTGAGAGCTCATCAACTTCTACATGGTATTCGAAGCCATAGGTGTGGATGAGATTGCCTAGCAGTGAGAACAGGACCTAGGATCAAGGCCTGAGAGACCTCCAAGTTTAAAGGTCAGGTAGGAGAAGGAGCTGCAAAGAAAACCAAAATGAAACAGAGAAAGAAAATTCAGGATAGGAAGGTAAATGATTGGAATACAGATAGTCCCCAACTTACGACGAACCACGCTTATGACCGTGTTTTTTTTTTGTACCTATACATCTTACTGTTAGTAATATGTACTACATACAACGTTGCAGCACATAATTTGCTGCTGTTATCATTCTCAGATGTACACTCACAATGTTTATACGTAATGTTTCTAAACCCCAGAGACAAATGAAGACTGGATTTATAAAGATACTGATAACAAAAGGCAATAATAATGAAAACTACAACAAAACGAACCAAAAAAAAGAGGTATTCAACTAATGCCAGAATTAACTATGGAGTCATCGGAATGTAAACCTGACCATAAGTCGCGGATTACGTGTATTCCAAAAAGGTAGCAGGATAAGATGGTGCCTGAATTTAATCCCTGCTCTACCACTTACTAAGCTGTTGGGCTAGTTAATCTTTCTAAGCTTCAACTTCTTCATCTGTAAAATGGGTATAATGATGACACCTATTAAAGAATTAAATGTTGTAATTCCTAAAAGAGCTTGATACAGTTAGTACTCAATTAACATTCATTATTTTTATTAGGAGGAAGAGGTCAAGTAAGATGAAAAGTGTCCACTGGATTTATTTCACATGTTACGAAGAGTGTTAGTAGAGTGGTGGGGGTAGGAGTCAAATTGGAACTGGCTGAGGAGTTAAAGGTAAGGAAATGGAGACAGCTTTTTGAGAAGTACAGGGAAGAGAATGGCAGTTGGAGAGGAATGTAAGGATAAGGGAAGTCTTAATTTTTAGGGATGAGAGATCATCTTTTTTGTATGCTGACTGGAAATTATCCTAGTAAGAGAGAAAGACTAATGGATACAGGAGAATAAGTTTCCTTTAATCTTTCTAAAAAACAGTATATGTAATAAAATTTCAGGTCTGTGCTAAGATGCTGTGGTCTAAAATATAATTTTTTTGGATCCTTAGTTACTACAGATACATACTGAAGTATTTACAGGTGAAATGATATGATTTAAGATTTCCTCTAAAATACTCCAGGAAAAGAAAAAGCAAGAACAACAGACCAAACACAAATGGCTAAACTGTATATAATTAGTGAAGCTGGATGATAGGTACATGCAAGTTTATTATACTCTTCTCTCTACTTCTGTGTATGTTTGAAAACTTCCATAATAAGTTTTTTGTTTTTGTTTTTTAAAGCAACCCCGTTACCCCAGCAAAGTCTTGGAGATGGTGAGCCAATATGAATACAATTAAAATCATGACAGGCAGGTGTGTACAGGAATATACATTCTAGGTCGTTGAGTTCTGTCCTCCAGCACCTTACAGAGGCAATCACAGGACAGCAACTCCAGCTTTCCCCTAGTCTCCGTCCAGCAATGCAGCTGTGGCTGGCCAGCGTGGCTTCTCTCCGACAACCAAATTACCCAGACAGGGCTCACCCTCCATGAGATTACCTGAGACAGTAAATGTCACATATAGGAAAACCACCTGAACCAATTCTCTTTGCATTCTAAAATTATGTTTCCTGCTCTGACATAATCTTTGCAATTCTCAAACAATTCTGAAAATTAATGACCTCAGTTTACAGAAGGAACATGTTAAAATTTAAAAAAGTTTTTGAAGAGGTCATATATTCACATGGTACAGAAATCAAAACTATATAAAAAGATACACACTAAGAAGTCTTGCTCCCATCCCAGTCCTCCCCACCTCAAACCCTAGGTCTCTTAGCCACTTTTATTAGTTTCTCACGTAGCCTTCTGGAGTAAATATACAATATAAGCATGTAGAAACATATTCTCACCCTTTCTTACACAAAAGGTAGAATATTAAATACACTGTTCTGTACTTTCCTCCTCCCCCTTTTACAACATAGCCTAGAGATCTTCCTATATAAGTATGTATATTCCTCTATTTTATCTGGTAGAAATCAGAAATGACATATGCAGAATATACAACGTATCATCTGAAAAACTTTTTTTAAAAATTAATTACCTAATTTAAAAATTGGGAGCATAAAGATCTGGCAACAGGAAACTGCCCCATAGCTTGGGAAATGCTCTCCAATGTGTCAGCCACCGCTCAAGAGAATTTTCCCACTTCAGTTTTATCTGCCTGGCCCCAGTAGCCATTACAGTTTGATCACTTGCTTTATCCTTTGCTTGTACCTGGATCCCTGTTTTCTGACACTTACATGCATCCTAGATCAGCTTCCAACCTTCCCTCCAAACAAGCCCTGCCTGCTTCTAATCCTGAGTCTCTGCTTCACACTGGGGTCCCCCCGTCCCCTACCCTCTACGTCTTGTTTTGGCTTATGGATAAGACACCAATCCCTGGTCTATGGCACTTAAACTGGCGCCTGTTACCCACTATTCATGTATACACTGCTCAGAAAATAACATCTGACATTCAAATGCTGGTCTAATTTAATCAGATCAATTACAATTGTTTTCCTTTTGCTTTTAAGTGTCCTTAATTTTCTTCTTTTATTACAAACGGAACAATAAATTGCTAACTTTGAGGGACTTGATTTAAAAAAGTTTTTATCTACAAAAATAGCAAAATTTAAGAACAGAAAAATTATCATGGTAATAAAACAGGCACATTTTCTGTAACTGGAAAATGTCACAATATATAAAGCACACTCTTTTCTTTTTATAAAGAGAAAACTTCTAGGTTCAATGAACACAACTTTTGACTACCGGAACGTTGCCTAGCCATTTTCATTTTCTCAGTTATTATCAGTCTCTCCTAATGTTTCACACTGAACTTTTATCCTATTTAACTTTTTAACTTTTTGCGTTAGAAGGGACACTCTTGTTTCTAACCTCCATAGAAACAAATGGATGCCACTGTCGCGCCTCTCTTTTTAATCACTTAAGGTTAATGAAGATAGAACATTTCTGACTCCTTTTAACGAAGACAAACCACGAAATCCTATAGGTAAAGATAATGTACACATCACAATACTGAATGTTCAACTCACCTGTGAAAACAACATTAGGAAGAAATGCATCCTGCATATTGGCACACGTACTCTAACAAACTCCTATCTAGCCTAGAGGAATTATAAAAACATTGATATTGCAGATGTTACATTTAAAATGTGTGTAGAAATTATTTTGAGAAAATAACATCTGCTTAGCAAATGTGAACATGT